TGAATCGTCGACTCGCCACTGGTCGAAACCAGAGTAGGGGCATGTCCATAGCCAAAGCCCTTGGGGCCAAAGTGCTTGCCATAGCAGGCGCGGCAATAGATATCGCCATCAGGTCCATCACAGGCCAGCATCGAGTCCAAGGGGCGGTGGCAGTCAGTGCAGTTGTAGCACTTCTTGTGCCACACCTTGCCCTTGGAGAGCTGCTGCTCAGCGGCAAAGACAGCGCCGCCGCATCGGGGGCAGCCCTCGCCCTCACGCGCCTTGATCGATGTGGTGTCTGGGTTGTAGAAGGGGCGATTGGCACTGATCTGATCCTCGGTGAGGCCATCGGTCTGCAGGAAACCCGAGCCGCAGGCAAAGCCATAGCCATGGGGTCCCCACTTCTTGCCGTAACAGGTGCGGCAGTAGACATCGCGATCGGGACCATCGCTGGCATTGATCGAATCGAGCGTCTTGTGGCAGTCTTTGCAGTTGAAGCACTTCTTGTGCCACTCGCGACCCTTCGACAGCTTCTGCTCGGCGGCATAGACCATGCCGCCGCAACGGGGACACCCCTCGCCGGGACGAGCCTGGATCTTGTCCACATCGATGGCGGCACGGATCTGCGGTGCACCATCGTCATGGGCATAGCAATCGGACTGAAGGGCACCACCGCCCTGGCCATAGCCGTAGCCCTTAGGGCCGAATTTCTTGGCGTAGCAGCCCTTGCAGTAGATGTTCTTGTCGGGCGCCTCGCAGCACAGGATCGAGTCAAGACCCTTCTTGCAGCTGCCGCACTTGAAGCACTCCTTGTGCCATCCACGGCCGCGGGCCAGCATCTGTTCAGCGGCATACACATAGCCGCCACAGCGTGGGCAACCCTCGCCCTCGGGGGCACGGGCAATGGCACGTGGCTCCAAGCGTGCGCCATTCCTCACCGACGGACCATCGCCATTCTCGCGCAGGAACTGTTGTCCATTGTCCATCGAGAGTGTGCCAGCTCCAGTGCCAAATCCGTAGCCCTTGGGCCCGAACTTACGTCCATGGCATGTCTTGCAGTACAACTCCCGCTCGTGCTCTGTGCAATTGGTGGAGTCCAGAGATTTGTTGCACATGCCGCACTTGAAGCAATTCTTGTGGAATGCATAGCCACCGGCCAGACGCTCTTCGGCCGCGTACACACTCTTGCCGCAGCGCGGACATTTAGGGGCCTCGATCGATTGGAAAGGCATTTCTGTTTCGTTTTCAGTGTGTGTTCGCTATCGAAAGGATCTACTCGAGAGTACAAATTACTATTCTTATTATCTGAAAGTGCACAGAGAGAGCAAAAGAGAACACATAGAATCGAGTCGTGGGGCTTTAGTGTGGAATTTTTGGGGACGAAAAGCGTTGTGTGGGCGATGAAAGCGATGAATGAGGTAAGCACCTGCCTGTTCTGCTGGAGAAGTCTAGTCACAGTGACAGTTTTTAGGTTAAAGCCGGCCTTAGTAAATTTAGCACATTTTTAATACAGTTCTAACTTTGATTAATAAGCATTAAAAGTCATAAACTAAGTTTTATCAACCCTACAACGTGTAAATCAGTTTAATTTCATATTTAGAACATTTCCAATATTGTAAAACACTCGTTAAATCTGCTTTTTTAGTACACATCTGATACTGGTGTTGAAAATATTTTAGTACACGATCTAAACCCTATAATTCCAAAAATTTTACCTTTAGATCACTCACCAATACATTTCTACATTGAAACAAACAAATTCCACCTCTAAATATCATAAGTACATGAACTAAAACAGTGAAAATCCCATGGTGGCCGTCATCTGGGTCATCTTGTCTGCGCTCATTGAAAAATCAAAGTGATCTTTTCACTAATTTATTCCTCAATTTACATTATGTAGATCATCTATCAAAAACCTTATCTGTCAGTCGGCAGAAACGTCATCGCCTGGTGCTAGAACAATTACCCAACCCAACCGCAGACGTATACGTAATGTTAATAAAGATTTTCCCTCCTCTCTTTCTTTCTTTCTCACTTTTTCTCGACAAAAATTCAGGGAAAATTCTTTAAACATCACAGAAAAACATGAGCAATAAATGTGTATCTATACAGAATACAGAATATTTTTGTATAAAAATAAAACCCAGACAGGTAGAAACACACAAAAAAGTGACCGCGATGCTATGACAGATATATGGGATGTGATGTGATGTGAGAGAGTGTGTGCTAAAACACTTTTGAGATCTGAATCACCGAACACACAGTCTTTGATATCTAGGGACCGTTTTGGGGAAGGTATAGATTAGAGATTTAGATGCAGGTGGGGGTTATGATGCAGTTTACAGACGTGTGTAAATATCGGTTAAATAGCAGTGTCTAGATATAAATATATGACGGGACGGAAACCTACACAACGCACTAAAACCACACACGGAAGCGCCGAGTACTGAACTGGAAGATTGCTCAAAGCAAACTAATCTATATAATTCTGAGTGCACACGGCACGGCCGAGTCACAGATGATTCTTCCTGCTCACAGTTTTTTTGAGTTGAGAAACTTTAGATGCGGCAACAGCAGCAACACGGAGCACTTTTCCTTCATTTTCATTTTCAGTTTTTCATCTAATACCATCTCGCCCAGAGAGTGGGATGGAAGGAAATGTTATGATTGTATTGGGGAGAAGCAGCAGCATCAGCAGTTCTGTGGTTTTCAACTTGTATTTTGTTCGTTTTTCTTTTTTTTCACATTCTACAATCGCTTCTTCTTGCCTCTGGCCGTTTTAGCTTTTGTTTTTTATGTTCGTTCAGTTTTTGAGGGTAAAAATGTTCTGTGAAATCGCATTCCCCCTGGGGTGTGAAGGAGCAAGATCATAAAGTTTGCGGTAGCTGCATTTTCTCAGTGGGTGTACACATACAATAATCAACATAATTAAGCATCTGGGAATATGTTTATACCCTTTGGCTGTTTTCTATAAGTTTAAATGCTAAATACTGAAATCTAAACATGTGAAACGATTAACCAAAATTCTTGGTAACTGATTGAGGTGTAAATTTCAATGATTGAAGAATTTTTTGAAGAATTTTTATAGAATCCGATGTGGAAAAAGTATCAGTACTTCCTATTTAATTGTCGTTTAATTTTCTTCTCATCTTAAAGTTTTGTAGATGTATGTACAAGATGCATTATATCCTGTTTTTGTTGATTTTAATAGGATTCTTTGTTTTACCTAAAAAACCAAACTATTTAATGTTATGGAAAACTCGAACTTTTAGACTTGGTTTTATTACTGTGTACAACATTTAGTACATATACTAAACTGTTTTCTATTCTTCACTGCACCAAAATATATGAAACTCTCCATAGACAATCCAAATTTCATTGAGTCAGACAGCTGCGTGTGTAGGCTTTTTCTACTAAAAAATATCCAAATCTATAAATAAGAGTAGGCTGTTTCCTCTGTGGAGCCACACAGCATTCCTCCCATCTTTTGTGGGTCACTAAAATATGAGTCAAAATTTCACACAAATTCTAAAATTAAACCGGAAAAAACTTGGGGACAAAACTTCATGGCTTTAACCGATATTTCTGCACAGCACTACTGAATTTTCGGAATATTTGTATTATATGAGATGCAGATGGGGGGGATCGTGAGTGTCCCTCAATTGTATGATGGTTTTGATATTTACTTTTCGTTCGTAATAATAAGATTCGCAAAGGAAAAATATATTCTTAATTTTAGTTTTAGCTTCGATTAACAACGATTTTCGACTGATCGCTCTACAAAATTGTCATAATTCTCGATGCTGTTGTCGCTGTGGCGCTGCTATGAGTCTTTGTCTGCACACGGCACAACGGCTACAACGACAACCACAGCGAGATTGTCGCCAAAAGCCACACGATAGGGATGACTATATAGACAACAATACTACCACCAGCGGCAGAGAAAAAACAACAATAAATGAGCCAACAAACCCAACAAATCACCAAAAATATATATGTAGATATATATTCCAATAAATTTCATCTATAAAACATTTTCTTTCTGAATTTTATTCAGAATTTTTCCAGGTGGAGGCTCTCCTCATGACATAGCAAAAAAAATATATATGTAATTTCTGTTGAATCAACAATATGGTTGGTGCTGTTGTCTGGTTCAAAGTCGATGTCGATCAATAAATTAACATGCACATTTGCATTTAATTAAATCTCAAATCAATGCTATTTTTGCCATGCATTTTTGTGATTCAAACAGAAAATTAATGAGGCTTGGGGGTAACGTCGAATGTACATCAATCAAATCGAGGAAAATAGAAATAGACAAGCGTGAAAAAAGACTATGAGATGTGCTCATACAATGGAAGAAGGATCGGCGAATGACAGATGAGATATTCAGCATAACGCAGAAATAGAGAGGATAATCAGAACACCAAACTCACTCCAATTAAATTATTTCATTCATGTTTAGATATGCAATATTGGTTTAGGATAGACAGATTCTCCCAATCCCGAAATCTATACCCCTCCACAAAATACTTCAAAGGGTGATATACAAAAACAAGGAATTCCTTGAGATTCCCCACTTTAGTATAATTCCACGCACACCTTGCGATTTCGATGGAAATTAATTTACAAAATAATTGCATTTAATTTTCTTCCATCTATAAATATGATACGAGAGCGGTAAGACGCGCCTGCGCCTTAAGCTTTTGGCAAGTGAAACGAATATATAGACATGGACTATAACTTATGTATATTATAGTGTATTCTCTCTGGCAAACAATTTGGACATGACATGCTCTAGACAAGTGTAAAACATCATTCAAAATGCAACATTGTAGCCAGAGAGGGAGAAACTCTCGATAGAGATCCGAAAAAGTCACTCAAGAGATACAAAAATCTATAACTCAAGAGCCGAAAAGCTTTTCCATTCTCTTGTCTTCATACACTATATTGTTTATCAGTCTATTTATAGAACACAAAAATATACTTAAAGATAAACAATTTGTTGGAATAAAACTTACCCTCTTGGAGCTCTTTTCTATTTCCTTTTCAAAATCCGTTAGTGGCGTCAGAGTCACGTGTGCATCCTTGCTTATTTCTCGAAATGAACTACGGATATACAAAAAAAAAAAACATAAATCAATCATTATTTGATATAAAGACGATGAATTTTTTGGGTAAAAAAATAGGTCTCATACGATGTTAGTCGATTCGATTCATAATTTCTACAATTGAACAAATGCGGCACCTCAATAGTACGCTTTTACAACTATTTACAAAATTACAAAATTATAATTATCGAATGTACTGGCTTCTCAATGTTTGGTAAGACATTATAAGCCCTTTCTAAACTTTAAAAACTACCAAAGAAATTTTGAAAAATTGTAACTTATAAAAGACCTTTTCTTTGCCGTTCTCGAAGCCCACCTATTGCTATCGTCCAAGATCGATGGGGCGATAATGGAGGGGCCACTTGCACTGCCGCTTGACTGCTTAACCGAATCGGCTTTACGTTTTTTCGAAGCCACACTTGTGGTTTGTGTGGGATTGCTGGAGGAAGACGAAGTTGATGATGCTGCAGACGATAATGAAGCCTTGTTTGTGGTCAAATTAGTGGCCACAGTGGAGGAGACTGCTGCTCCTCCTCCTCCGCTAAGGCCCTGGCCAAGAGCTGCAGTCATATTACTTGCAGACGAACCTGCGCCTGGTAATGTATCTGCACTGCTGCTCGCCGCAAAGGCCGAAGAAGACTCATTCAAAGTGCTGCTGCCTGCACGTATTTCTGTACCGAATACCGTTCCGCTGCTACTGCTGGCATTCAGATGTGTGCTCACATTGCTGCCTGCTGCTCCCCCGTTCGTACTGAGGTTCTGGGCATGATTCGAGTGACTGGCAGCAGCAGCGGCAAATATGGCAGTCACAGAGCTGGATACAGCGGCAGACCCATTGGCGGCTGTTGGAGTTGACGAACTGCTGCTAAACTGGGTATTGCTGGTGTTGGTTGTGCTGGTTGTGCTGATACTCGAACTGCCGCTTGTGGCACTTGGCATTTGAATGGATGTATCCTTGTTTTTCAATAATTTCGATGATGACTTCTCCCGAGACGAGGAGCTGCCAGATGTTGAGGTGGCTATTGAGTTCGAGAAACCGCTGCTTGTGCTGCTGCTTGGGGGATTGTTTCCGTTGTCCTTGCTGCTATCCTTTTCCTTACTTGAATTCGATTGCTTACTTAGGCTTTTGCTATGCTTATCCTTGTAGCTGCTGCTACTGCTCGAACTACTGGCCGAGGATTTTGTGGTTGCGGCTGCCGATGTTGTCGACTGACTGGCGTTGGAGGCTTTCTGTGAGCCAGAGCCGCTGCCAGAGGAAGGAAGATTTATTGCACTTGTGGTTCCACTGGCCACGCTTCCGCCCGCAACTGATGCTGCTGCTCCAGTGCTGGCCGGCAGACTGGTGTTAGTACTATTACTAATATTATTGGTGCTACTACTCGATGGTGGTAGGCTTCCTCCGACTGGCAGATTACTGGCACCGCCTGAGCTTGCGGTACTGAAGGAGGGATTCGCCACTCCCGTGGAGGATGATGAGGAGCTACTGCTGCTGCTGCTCGATGACTTGCCCGATGCATTGCTCTTGCGCTGTTTGGACGATGAAGATACACCGCTGCCGCTGCCGCTGCCGCTGCCTCCAGAGACTGCCCCCAAAGAGCTGGCATTCAAGGCATTGCTGGTGGTGGTGGTGCTGCTGCTGCTGGTTATCTTAATGCTCGTTGCCGAGGTAGCTGCTGCATTCATTGTGGAGTCAATATCCTTTTCGGGAGATGAACACGAATCGGATGAGGTGTCATGTTGTATGGGTTTGTATGGCGGTATGGTTTTGACGTTGCCGCCCTTTTTCTGCAAAGTTGCAATCAGATTAGTGTGGAGATCATAAACATATTCCCCCCACATACTCACCAGTTTGCTATAATGATGCTGGCAATAGCCGCAGTACTTGACATTATCTAAATAGTTGCCAGCCTCCTCGCAGAGCAGACCCAAGCTCTGGGCGCATGTGACATGAAATTGTTGCTTGCAATTGGATTTGTTGCACTGCATGCAGGCACCCTTAGTGGAGCGGCCAGTCTTTCCAATCTCCATGCAAATGTAGCAGGCTATAAAATACCAAAATATATACAATAGGAAACTCCAAAGAACATAATTTTACTCACATTTGTGGAAGCGTTCCTCTGGTATCTGCGACATGAGTATGGGCTCCATAGTTGTCACATTACCGAAACGCACTTCGGGTATGTACAGAGCACACACGACATGTGCCCATTTGTTCTGATCTGTTTTCTTGAGCGCCCCATCCTTTGAGGGGCATAAATGGCAATGGACGCGGGAGGCGGGCTCTTGGGATTCACATTTGCGACAATACCAGGGTCCGGTGGGGACCGTCACAATGCCATAGCATGCCTGATGCACGGCAACCATACAGTTTTGGCCGTCACAGTATACGAGCGGGTTCTCCGGCCACCCCCGCTCGTCCGAACAAACACAACAGCCGCCCACCATTTCCTTCATATCGTCCAGCTTGAACTTTTTAATCTTGACGAGTTTTTTATTCAAGTTTACGGAGTGAATGGTGTCGTCTTTGCTGGAGTCTAGCTCCAGTTTTGCATTAAATGAAGATGGAATTTTGTTGGAACTGCAAAAAGAGAGGAAAGGGGAGGAATTATTCCTGGTTTCTTTCCCGATAAAGCGACGCCAAGCTCTCGATAAAACCCAGCGGTGCAGGTGTCGCATCGCAAGGTCACACGCAACAAACATTCCCAATAGCAAAATTATGTACATATGAACGTATATAAGGATTTCCCATACCCCTACACTAAGCAAAAGTATAAAATACAAACACTACATGAACACGCACAGCTGACTCTGCCGCTGCACTGCTACCAGCTCGACTAAAACTCGAAACTAGAGCATATATATCTCTCGCTTACACTACAAGCTTTTCCCATTCAGTTTTTGGATCAGATTTCAGTCTTCAATTGTAGTGTATTGGAATACGACAATTATGCAATTACAATCTTGCCTTCAATATAAGTGTCTGAGAGAGAAGGCACATGGCAAGGTATCTAAAACCGAAGGTATGGTCAGTCATACAGCTGTCAACCATACCTGCTTCGTTAAGCAAGTCCCTCACAATAAGAGCTGGTGGGTGGTTAAATAGGACACCCGAAGAGCAGTTATGCCCATACCTTCACTTTAGTATACCTTGGCTCATGGCAAAATATTGACACACGCACTAACACACATTCATACAAACGCAAAGGCACTGTTGTTGTACATGAAAACCTCTCAATGTCAAGGTAATTTCGCCGACGTTTTAATAATGCACGCAATTCTTTCTTCTTGAATCATTTGTCTTAATAAAAATGACCATAAAGAAATCAGCACACCTTGCCACCGCATATTGATTTTTAATTTATTGAAGGTAATAAAATCGCCCAACAAACTTCGGTAACATTCACACACGTTCAAAAAGAACAAATGCGCACGGACGGGCACATACACAAACATTTAACACCCGATGGCATTCCATTGCTGCTGGTTCATTGAACTTGAACAGCAAAATCGCTTTCTCGATATAAACAAAAGGCAGCACCAAAAATAAAACAGGAAAAACGCTGCATTACAATTCGGGGTCTAATTTGGGTTCCACTGTGCAGCATCTACATACATACACGTATACATACACATAAACATAAGTAGCGGTATTATGTGGGTCGCCGCCGCAGCATCTGCCGAGATTTCACAATAATAATAATAACGGCATGCGGGCGCTATTTCTGTTTCATTCATGCATGTGGGCATCTGGGAGCGGTGTGTGCGTGTGAGCGAGAGTTGAAGTTCTATTCTACCGTTATTGGGTCAACGTGTTGCCAACTGCCGAAAAACGCATCAACTGCGCGAGAACTTTAACTTTAGCGGTGTAAAAGCACACACACCTTTATATACGAAACGAGGCCGTCGCCGCTCTGCACGCCGCTTTTGTAATGTTTACAATAAAGAGGCGACGGTGGAAGAGGGAGAGCAATGCACTTTCCACTGAGCACGCCTACAAAATACACAGTCAGATACATCCACACACTCACTGAACACACATATACAGAAGATGTTACATATACCCATGTATATGTACACTTGTAAAATGCCGCAAAAGGGGGCGCGTTGGGTGCTTTTGGGGGAGGTATATAAGCGGCACAGCACTACTCTATATATTTTCTTCCTTCCAAAGATGCTCTCAATGGAGGGGGACGAGTGGAGTCAATGGGGGCGGCTGGAGTGCGAGGGTGGTTTCCCACGTTCGATTTTCTCGCTTAAAGCATATTAAATTTCTCCAAACGGAAAATGTGTGTATACGCGAAGCTTGAATTTATTGATTTTTTCGGAAAAATTGCTTAAAATAAGTCCCGTACACACGAAAAACACGGCTTTAAAACGTCATCAAAAGGCAAATTGTATTAAAAAAAAACTAGTTTCGGGCGAGGGCAAAATGCGCGCGGTCAAAAGTGGTCAAGCAACGCATATAAAGAGATATCTCTTTTTTTTGGGAGCGTCGTTTGTGGGGAGGGACGTTCACCAAAAACTTGAAATTCTTTACACTCTTTTTTTTGTTACACTATTTTCACACAGTACTATGTGGTTTTCTAATTGGGGCGGTAGCAAAACACCTTTCGCACAGGGAATATTGATTTTCTTTACCCAATTTGACAGTTGAGCAGAACTTTAACCAGCCTTATCGAGCTGGTCGGGGCACTTGTGGTTTATCGGGCTATTCGTTTGCTTTTCACTTTTCGGTTTTCCTTTCCCCAATATTTTTCGTCGTCCCCACAGCCGCCCACGAGAAGCAAACGCACGCAAGTAAAATAATCAACACACGAACAAAAAAAGGCGCTGAACATCCACCAGCGTACAACAACAACAACAACAACAACTGTATTTACAACACCAACACACACCTTGTAACTTGTTTGTTGTTGTTTCGCTCGCACATCAAGAGCGAGCGTGCAAGCCTGAGAGAGACAACACCACCTGCTCTGTATACAAATGCAATAGACGATTTTCCCTATTATCGATGCGCGATACTTGTAACAACAAACCCACAACGCGAATTTGTGGGCCACTTTAACTATATTGCGATATTCCAATTGCAATGATGCTGCAGGTGCATAAACTCTCGGCTTGGTACGGTATTTTGCTATTTAAATAAAAAACTAAGTAAATATCCGCGACCGTGACATGGGACGCAGTGTGACCGAGGGCTTTTCGATATACTGTCTGACCCTCAGAAACATACCGAAGACTACCTTAACCGTGGGAAATTGCTGATGAAAAAGAGGGTATGTACAACAATCAAAAGGACCAAACTAGTACCCACCCCATGAGAGATGTTATAGCTACAGATTATATTTTCCCCGGCTTAAGTTTCGGATTTTTTTAAATAGACTGTTTTAGTGGGCTAAGCTCGTTTTTGTCGGTATTTTTACGGTATCTTTTGGCAATTTTCAGTGAGTCTGAGGTTTATTTGATGGAAATAGCGGTCACACTGTTTGAAACAGCTGTGGAAATATTGATTTTTGAAATCAATTCTGCAACTCCAGCGTCGTGCATTTTAAAGCGTTAAACTAACCGAGAAAATGTCCTCTAACGGCGAGTGCTTTGTTGTTCTGCCTGTCAACTGTGTCTCTGGCACCCTTATTGTTGGCCGCAATGCGGAGGACGAGGCATCGGTGGGCGTTGCAGAAGAAGTATGCTACTATGATGTCAGCGAAGTACTGGAGGGGAAGGTAAAACTTCAATTCTCGAAAGTCGAGCTTGATCAATGACTCACCTCCATTCGCCCTGTTAACAGACTGATGGCGGAGCCGCTGCCGAATCGAGCAACGACGCCTTGCGTGTTATATTGCAAAAACCAAAGCCCGGTCTCTGGGGCGGAGATTTTGGGGCCAACGAACGCGGCCTGGCCGTAGGTCTCACCTGGTCGGCTGGTGAGGATGATGCCAAAGACAGCGATAGCCTGCTGGGCACGGATATAGTGCGGTATGTTTTAGTTTAAAACCTCTTTAGACACTTGTCTTAAGTTAAAGTATGTGTACTCTACAGATTGACTTTGGCCGTGTCCAGCGATGTGGAGGCAGCCGTGGACCGTATTGGGCTGCTGGTTGCTACCCACGGCCATGATAACTCCAAGCTCAATTTTATTGCGTGTGATTCCACGGCCGCCTGGCTCATCAGCTGTGCCGGCAAGGTCTGGGCCGCCGAGAAGGTAGAGTCTAGCTTCCTGCGGCTGCCCAGTGGCGGCCTGACCGTGAGCACCGTCATTAACAAGTCCAGCGAGGGGCTGGACGCAGAGGCCAGCTTTTCGGCGGCCCATGATGCCGAGGCCCAGACGCCAGCCGAAGATTGGTGTGGGCCCAAGCCATCGGGCGATGGCACCTACACCCAGCATGACATGTTCGAGACGCTGCGCGCCGCCAGCAACGAGAGTAGCTCCCGGGCAGCCACTGTTTCTGTGCTGTCGTCCAAGGGGATTTGCTGCCATTGGTTTACGGCCACGCCCAATGCAGCTGAATCCGTGTTCAAGCCATTTGTTTTCGCACCCAAGCCTCGGATTTCGCCACTAACGGCCGTTCAGCCTGAGGCTGAATTAACGCTCCTACACAAATTGCATTCGCAGCGCAAGCCAGCGGCCCTTGAGCACTTGCGCAGCCTGGAGCGCTCCTGTGTGGACGAGTTGAACAATTACTTTTCGCTGCAGGATCATGCGAGCGACGAGCTCGACGAACTGCTCAAGGACTGTGTCGAGGCGGAGGTCAAATTTTATCGCTAAAATCGCGATACTCCATTCCAAATATTGATATTCAAAAAAAATAGCTTGCAAGCGCCTTTATTGAGCCTTGGGATTTGACTTTGATGCATTTTTTTATAGGCTATATCCAAAAACAAATGATTTACTTGTGCAATCTATCAAACGATTTTATTTTCGTTTAGTTTTTATGCTTTTGCGTGATCTCTCTCTACTATGACTTGATTTTGAATAAAGTATTACATACATATATCTACATACATCCAGACTATGACTTTAGTCATTAGATCCCGAGCTGACCCGTCGTGGGTTGGGAATTTGGCGCCTTGCTTGGTATCAAATATTTATTCAATCTTTTCCTGTCTTACCCTTTAAAAAATTAAAACTTCTACTTCATTGCCATATATTTACAAATATTTGCTTAGACGGATTCTACAACCAAATTGGTTTTAAAAATTGTGTTTTCATTGTGCAGTGCCTCTAATTTGGTGATTTCAAACGCCTGATAGATCTCGCGAAAGTCCATAATATTGCGTGGATCGCTTTCCATCCAGAAGCGATCGAATTCAAAAAACAGATAGCAATACAATTTATGGAAATCCTCTATGGAGTTGAAGTCCTGCTTGTGCAGGGCCACCACATTATAGAAATGTGTCTTTGCCTGTCCGGTCTTCACCAGATTGTAGGCCATTGAAGTGAGGTTGATGCCCACAATGGCATAAGTATACCCGCGTGTGGGATGCATTGAGTGGAGCAGCACATGCTTGGCCGCATCGTTGTAGGCGCTGGCGAAATACAGCAAATTCTCCAGGCCGAGCATGCCCATGCCACGGAAATCTGTTTTTGGGTCGTCGCCCTGGAAGCCAATATCCTGCCATTGTTTGCTCACTCGCCCGGTTAGCGGCGCCTCTGGCATCAGCAGTTGCCATAGCTCCAACAGCTTGTATTCGTGCTCTGGGTTATCCGAATCGTATTTCTCGGCCCGCAACTGTTCCACCTGGTGCATGAGACGTCTGTAGCCCCAAATGGTGGACACACAGTTGCTAAACAGACGGGCAAAGTCCGGATGGACGTTGTTTTTAATGCGTTTTGCCTGCATAACAACGCGTGCGGCGCGGGAAGCTGAAAAATTGATACATTTATTAGGATTGATCCAACACGAGGAGGTTTTTGATGACTTACAGAACTCCAGGAGCTGCCTGTTGTCTGCATAGGGTGCTACCTCATCCAGGTCGTGGACCACGCGCTTTATTTCATACGATTTGGACAATGTCAGGGATCTTTCCACTTGTCGCGTCCGGCTGGCTCCCGCCCGTGCCCCATAGCAGATTCTCTGCAGCTCCGATAGCCGGGTGAAGGCGTGCAAGAACCACTTAATAAATGGCCGAATATAGCTAAATATAAAAGGCAATATTCTGTCTAGTATAAACATTTTACTAGTGAAATTTCTTTAGAACAACTGAAAATCGCCAAAGTTACGATTTCGTTTGTTTGTCCATAGGTTGCCAAGGCAACGTGGCGGACGATATGCTATGGTAGAGTCTTCCACTATATAATATATATTTAATATTATTACACTATTTTTGAAGCTATCTTTTGTTTAAACTGCTTGCAACAACAACAATTTTCTAACTTAAAATTTCTTAAACAGCTGATTTTCCGGAGAACAGTGCTGTAAGAGGATGGATATCTTTATCTGCCACTTTAACAAACAGCTGAGAACAGTGTTTGTAAGCGGGTGGAACAAGGTGAATTTTCTTACAAGGTGGCGTCTTCTTTTATGTCGGGGACAATATCTCTATCTCCATCCCTTTCTAGCGATTGTCTTTCTGAGCGTGGTGAATAAGTTGTTGGTCTTTTAAACAGCTGACAACGGCACCTTGTTACTTAATTCTCCTTGGTCCTCCCCGCAGGGGACAACATCACCTTGTAAGTGAATTCCCCTTGGGGTGGAATATCTTTTTCTGCTACTTCAACAAACACAAATTTAATTTTAGATCTATTGCGAAAATAGCAGACATTTGCATTACAATAGTTTCTGTTTCTGCACTTTATTTGCGCTAAAGTTGGCTTGTGTTCGTTTTATTGCTGTTTTCATCGCCCATTTCGTTGGCAACTGCTTCATTCGTAGTGTGTGCCGATGAAGTAAGTGACTCCGTTGTCTGTGGATCTGGAAAAATGAAGCGCAGTGGTTCATCATCCACGAGTAATTCAAAGTTTCCGAGGGAAAGGGAGGGAAGTCCTCCAGGGCGGATAACAGTGGATGACCAGATCATCAGATTAAATGAACAAATGGACATGGTGCTGGAAAATCAAAGTAAAATCATAGACACTTTGCGGAGATTGACCAACAGCAGCGGTGGTCAAAGTGAAGAAACACAAGAATCTCTGCTCGAAGATCGAGAGTTGCAAAAATTTCCTCTAACTGAAATCGAGCAGCTGGACATAGTGGAAGAGGCTCTCAATGATCCCGAAAATCGTTATGTAAGTGGCTAAGCATGTATGTAGATACAAAAAGTTATTTATACATAATTCTCGTTCGTCTTTTTGTAGTTTCAACAAATGAAGGAAATTATACAGCCCGAGGATAAGCCTCGTCCTGGAGGCCTTAGGAGACACTTTCATCTGCTAATGAAGGCCGACTTTTTTGTCCAGTTCAATTACGATGGCATCCACAACAAGTATCCATTTAAGAAGTACAAAAACTTTAATAATGCCATATATCGTACGTTTGTCTTATTATTCGATTGCTATATGCCTTCTCCTACATGGTCTGCTTCTTTTGCAGGCATTCGAAAGCATGATGGTTATACGGAAGATGATTATGTTACGGAGATGAGAGCCGTTTTTCGTGCCTATAAGAATCGGAAAAGTAAAAACACTTCAAATGCTAGGAAAAAACTGAAAGAAGCGCAGGCCCACTTTGAGCCTGAAATCGATTTTGAAAAGATCTTGTGGCCAGATGAATGAAATAGAAAGACACGATCCACGCGATTCCCTATTAATATTTAAAAGACATTGAACTTATTGTGAGCATATCTATCTGTGAGAGACTGATATTCGATGAACTGTAGCTATCACTATAACTCGCGTGCTGAATCGATTAGATTACGACTCTGTGCATGTGTTGGTAGACTTATTTTATAGACTTCTTCTAGCCGGTGTTTCGTTTGTAGCCGCCTGAGGGCTGATACTATGCATACATATGTAAACAGTAAAAACCTGTATCGGCCTCAGTTATAAACCAGCATTTGACGAAGCTGAAGCTATATTTGGGTTGCCTGGCGTCAAAATTCTAGCGATAAGAGTGTGAAAATGCGTTCACAGAATGGAAGAATCTGGGGAACTTTGTACGATGGTGTGTACATTTTTCAAGTACCCAAAACTTAAATAAACCATTCTTTTGATTGTTAACGTTTAATTAATTGTGTTTTTTAGGGAAATTTAAAGTGCAAAGTGTAACCGAAACTGATCTCGAAGAGGCGCTTGATGTAAGTAAAAATGCAGCATAAAGTCGTATGTGAGAGCCAGGGCGGGCGGTTCGAGGTGTCAATTGACGCAAAAGTCACACAAATTAATTAATCTCTTATCAAATATTTTCCATGGGATGGAATGAATATGATGCTTTAAACACCAGAGCTACTTCGGCAGCAGAAAATCATCATTGGGCTGCGATACGAACGTGGCGTCGGTGGTGTAATGGTCAGCATAGTTGCCTTCCAAGCAGTTGACCCGGGTTCGATTCCCGGCCGACGCAGCTCGCTTTTTTGCAAAAATTCATTAAAAATTGTTTTTATATTTTTATTTTTTAGGTTCTGGATGGTTCATTTTTCATTAATGAATCAGTTTGCATTGCTTGTGGCATTAATTTACCGCAGAATGCGCAGTCCCGCAAAGAGTTACGAGAATTGTGCAAAATAACAGCCGAGGATGGGGTTTCACTTTTGGTTAAGGAGTTGGCCACTGGACAGATTGTGGCAGTGTCTTTTAACAAAATACAGGTAAGTAACCCATGAGAAGTCCCTTTGGATCTGTAAATTATATAATAAACAATCTTCCAGTACACTCCACCGCCCGGCGAGGATCATTTCTTCTTGAAATTCCGCAACGAGGTCGCTCAGAGTGCTCAGGCCCGACGTTTGATGGATTTTATGATTGAAGTCGACGAAAGGATCGATGTTTGTGCCATGTACAATATGGATTGCTTCTGCGAGCTTATGTTTTTGGCTACCTTGCCCTCCCATGAGCGTCTGGGACTTGGTAGGGCCTTGGCCGACTATACCATTGAACTCACTAAAGAGCTTGCGGAGGGCAAGGGTCTGGAGGACATTAATGAGAAGCTGCGCTCACAACGTCCTGCGGCTGTGACAGCTCTATGGACCTCGAGTTTCTCGCAAAAAGTTGGCCGTGCTTCAAACTTTAAGGTTCTTAACTCGGTTTCCTACGAGGAATTCCAATTCGAAGGGAAGCGTTTTAGCGAGCGCATAAGTCCCTTGCATAAGCTTTGCGAACATGTTATACACAAGTTTTAAAAATTGTTATAGTTTTTGAATAAAAAATTACAAAAAATCTAGACGTGCGTCGGCCGGGAATCGAACCCGGGTCAACTGCTTGGAAGGCAACTATGCTGACCATTACACCACCGACGCCACACGGATTGTGTTGACGGTTTCGCTTAAAATGGTAAGAGCAATCGTCTGGCAACCCTAGCAACGCAGTTGCTAAATGTAAGCTAGATGGCGCTTCTTTGGTAAACTAAAAGGTATCGATTTGAAAAAGCCGTTGAGTTTGAATTTGAATTTAATTATCATCTTACACGTTGACAAGAAACACAACCAGCATAACCGATAGATGGCGTTGTGCAATTAATATTTTGAAACATGCCAGCTTGTGACGTTTAAAAATCTCAGAATAAATCAGTTAATTTTCATTTTACACTTTGACAAGCAAATCGAAAATAATTAAAATCTCGAGAGGAAGTTTTCAGTTCAGGTGTACTGTTTTAGTCTTTCTACAACCATGGACTGTATGAACATTTTGGATGGACAATATCAGATTGTGCACGTAACACCGGACTTGTATGATGAAACTGAAGAGGTAGGCATTCCCCCATTCCACCCCATACCTCTCGCATTGACATGCATTTTCTTTTATGCAGCTGCTGGCGGATGTATCGGTGAATCATGAGTTGACATGCTTGGCAGCCAAAGTTAAAGATTCGCCACTGGCCATAGCAGATCTCCGTGCACAAATTCGGTATGTCCTGTCCGGCGGCATCTCATTTGCCGTACGGCACGTGTCCAGTGGCAGAATTGTGGCTGCAATTGCCAACATCATCTTTGTGAGTGTGTCTCCTTCAGGCTTCGTTGTATTTATTAAATATCTATTCCCTGCAGTACGACGAACAGGATACCATTTATGAGTTGACAGAGTATAAATGTCCAAATATGATCAAATACATGAAGTTGTGGGAGGCACTCGAATCCAGCTACAACATCTATAAAGAGTGGAATATGCCAGCGATTTTTGACGTTCAATATTTGGCCACGCATCCCGATTTCAGGTGTCGCCGCTTGGCATTTCAATTGTTCAAGCATACCATGGACTTTGCTCGGCTTTTGTCGCATGAAAAGCTGCCACTGGATGAAAACAATTCAAAGGACATACCAAAGGGTGTGATGACAATGGCCACATCACCGTATAGCAGAAAGTGCGGCTACAGATTGGGCTTGGAAATAGTCAAGACGTGGCACATATCTGAAAGGGAAGTCGTAGAGCTTCAAGCGATAAAGTTTTAATGTAACCTCTATCTGCCATTCGAAACATTTGAAAAGTTTTAATCCATTTAGAGCTGTGCTCAACCCCTTTAATAAATTCTATTTCCATTGTTGATTTCAATTTTTGCACTTTCGAATCTAAAAAAAACTTTTCAAATGAGATTAAAATCCACATCCCCATCCAGCGAGTGCTCGTTGAGGCATGCCACTCAAGAGGATTTCCCTCGTCCTCGAGTCCGCTCCCTAATACTCAGTGTCAACACAGGACAGGGGATCGGGGCGAGAGCAGTGTGATAAGCATTTCGATCCTACTTTACTTTACCTCTCTCTCTCTCTCTCTCTCTCTGTGTGCCTCAACAATGCATTTGGGTTTTTAATTAGAATTGAAATAACAACAAAAAACTGAGCAAGACTTTGCCAAAAAGAAGGCAAAGGCAAAGGCAACGGCAACGGCCACCCCTTTTGCGGCAAGGGCAATTCGGTTACGCTTGATTGTGTTACATGACGTGTGCATAATTCGACGAGTGCCGAGAATGCCAGTTAGTACTTGGTTTGCACTTGGTACGGAATTGTATTTATTTTCTGTATGGTTGGCGCTTAATTATATAGCCAAGTACCCGCGTTCCTGTGTGGGAACTAATGCCTGCAGATAGCCAAAGCTAATGCTTGGCATATTTTTAGAGTTAATTCGATATTTGAAAGGAAACGAATCAATGGGCAGAACCTTGTATAATAAGTTGTTCTACAAGAAATCTATAAGAATTCATATGAGTAAGGAGCTTGGGTCTTAAAGGAGTAACCCCAAAGCTTTCAGCCCACAAAAATGCCACTGATAAAATTGAAAT